TGCATTCCATGACTCCCTGCATTATATCCGATGCAGTGATCAGCGGTTGTAAGTTGGGCGGAATATCTCATCATCTGGAACGGGAAATGTCTTCCTAGACTCTAGGGAGCACTTTCCTCGATGGTTCTGTAGGTGGGAATCCAACGTCGAATTCAAGAGATCTTGGGTTATAAAATTCCCGGAACAGCTCCCAAATGTAGTGAACAGCGGGCTGTTACTCGTATGCGACTTGCCCTATCGCAACCCTACTGGGTTCAAACTCTATGTTCCAAAGACAGCCTGACCGCTTTAGAAGGGCTCAAATATTTAAATAATTGTCTTTGAAACATATTCGAGTCCTGTAGTATTAAAAAGGAAGTCCAGGAATAACAAGTATCCCTCGTGACTCGGCAGTCAGACAGAGTCTCACCCTCAGCATCAGTCATACAGCCAGCCCTAAACTGGTGGACCGCCGAGCATTCTAGACTTGGTTATCCTAAATTTCCACCTAAAGTACTGCGGCGTATCTGTATTAGTATTCTGTTTGTTATCTTTCATCTAAAAAGGTCTCTGCAGTTTCCAGTTCAGCCCCATTGCAGTGCCTGTGCACTACAAGCGGTTTCCAACGGGGACTGCACGAGCCTTCATAAACGGCAATAAAAACGAGGCACACAACCCTTCTACAAAGAAAACATTCTTATGTTACCTTCTTTTAATATTAATTATATCTAGTTTCAAGCTTTGCTCGCATTTGTCGCTCTATTGGTCCCTACTGCTCCATCCGCGGTGCACGAGACTTGTGGACCGGACCAGCCGCGGAACTCCGACTTCTTTGCCTTCTTTCCTGAACTCCTTGATTTGTGCATATTTCTCTCTGTTCCTTTTTGAAGGAAAAATATATTGAAGTTCCATCTCCTCTTTCACCACAATGGCTTCTTTCTACAAGGCGGCAGCAGCAGTGTGCCTCGTTGCACTCGGCGTGCTCGAATCAGAGGCGCAGCAGGATTCAGCAACATATAAGTTTAAAGTAGTGGAGGTAGATGAAGGTGAGCATATTTTCCCCTTCATTTCACCCGTCATGTTTTCCTCCCTCGTGTTTTATGCCAAGCTATCAGCTGTTCCGCTGCAGCGGACCCCTAGTCGCCTCATTGCTTTATTCCCTCGTGTCTCTTTGTTCCTGTTTCTCCGCCGCAGACGCCTACTTGT